ATATAATAATAAATAATATATTAATTAATATAATTAAAAATATTTATAATGAAAGAAAAAGGAAGAGATGATTACTGTTTTTTTATAAACGAATATTAGTTGCCTTGAGAAATGAAAATAAAACAGATTAGGTGTCATGACCTGCATAATTATGATATTAATGACAATTGACTTCAACCTACGATCTCTTCATGTATAAGATCGTGGTTTTATCTTGAAATATATACAAGTGTCACTTGTTTTCAATCAGTCAGATCCATTCAGACCTATGGTGAACCGCCCAATACCCTGTAACCAGCAGAACCTCGGTTAACCTTTCCTCTTAGCGAAGAAGTTACCATGCATGGGAAAGTACTTTCCCAACGATTCTCACAATTGCAGGACGTTTAGCTATGGCTGCAATAAATATTACGAAGTTCCAAGGAATTACGAACGCTTATTACAATCTTAGCCGAATCGAATTAGCATGAGAACGTGAAACTTTATAAGATTTTATGAGAATTATTAGATTAGGAATTTAGGCAAGTAACTAATTGCGATTTGAGTTTGTCGATAGACTCCATATTTAAAACGAATAATGCATAAAATTATAATCAGTGCTAAATAATTATGTATAGTATGTATGTAATAGTATTCCATACATAAAATTATAATCAGTTGCTAAATAATTATGTACATAGAATAATCATTCATTCTTAGCCGAATGTACATTATAAGAGTCTATGATAATTAATTATGCATGAAGAAGGCGGTAGAAGAGGAACGGATGAGTCGTTCCTTTGAGAAATTCGACGTTACTAAAATAGAATTAAGGAAGGTGTAAAAGCGATTTGTTGGAACCGGTCGATGGACAGCCGAATGGCCGTGATCTTGGATGTTGGCCAGAAATCCCGTTCCCTCCATTGATGACCGGTTTTAACGCATTCGAAGAAGTGACAGTACCGCGGAGCCAATGTACCCGCGCGTATCCTGCTGTACTTACGTGACTCGCCATTGTAAAACGATATGAAACTACTCTGCGGCGGACCACTTTCGATTCTCATCCATTGACTCGACCAATAAACCCGTGCACTTGCGTTCCCAAGACCAGATACTCCGCGTGTCTCGATGATCTATGTGTGCAAATAAGGATGAACGCTCTTTTCGGGCAGCTGGTTCTCAGCCTTGAGACAAACGGCAACGACCGGATGACAAACACGAAGGAATTCCAATTCATACAGAGACTTATCGCACGCCCTGTGGGCAGGACCAACGAAAATTCATTACCTTATCGTTTCTTTGATTCCTGATTGACATATATAATTTCTAACATCGGTCGTTCACGCTTCGTAATACATAATTAGTAGTATATAATACAAATCTATCCAAACAGGATAACAAAAAAATGCTAAATAACA